CATTTTTGTGAGAATTAGGGGAGGGGAGTTCATTTGTATCAATCTTTCTTTTGCATTCAATTGCAGACAAAAATTGAAAGTCGATATTCATTTTTCATATATTATTATGGGAAAATGAGGACTATATTCATTATTTAAAAAAGAAATTTCAGAAAATTGCAATATCTTTTTTAATTATGTTAGAAAGTTCTTTTGGCAAGTAACATTAAAGAACAAAATCAGTTTACGGATCGGATCGGTTGTCGTGGCGATTGCGCAGTCAGCAGTGATCAACGGTCTAAGGTCCGCCACGTGGAAAATCCCGTTTACATGGAGGGACGTCAGAGGTTAGACCAATGAGGAAGCACCAGTTGCCCTATAAATAGCTGACCAATCCCCCAGCTCACAAAACCTCATCGCATTCCTCTCACTTCATCACTAGCAGCATCCAAAGCGAAGAAGAAGAATCGAAACGCGCGTTTTGCCTTATCGATCAGCTATCAATGGGGGCGAAGAACTTCAAGTACGTGATCCTCGGCGGCGGCGTCTCAGCTGTATGTTTCTCTGCGATCGATTCTTGTCCGTTTGATCAAATTTTGTTGATTCGTGCTTTTCTCTAAGAATTGACCCCAAAATATGAATTTTCGATCTTTTTTTCGAAGTTTTCTTTCGATCCTGATGAGGTTTTACATAATTCTGGCTTTGAATTTTGAAGTATTTTCATAGATCTAGTATAATTATTTGAATTTCTTTTTATGATTTTTGAAATTTTGAGTACTTGATGTTCTTAAAGTCAATGCGTTTCTGTATATAATTATGCGCTTTAAAAACTGTTTTTGTGATAATTTTGTTATACTGTGAAGCCTTGATCATTATTAATGCTTTATATGTGTTTGGTTTTGAAATTTATAGGGATATGCAGCTCGGGAGTTTGCCAAACAGGGCCTTAAGCCAGGCGAACTAGCGGTCATTTCCAAAGAGGCGGTATGTTTTCTAATGCTCGCTTTCGAATGTGTTTGTATGCAGTTGACTGAATATTTGAGATATTTTTGTGCAAAGTTATAATTTATTGGGGTATTAATGCAATTAGTTGTGAATTTTGGGAACGAGAATAGAAAATGCGAATTGCGGTAGTATGCATGAGTATTGATGACTGTTTGCTTAAGTGATGATCAATGTTTAACATATCAGTTTCGGTGGAAATATCGATATGCATATTTGTGGAAATATCGATGGATATATCGATATCGGTTGCCTTTGATAGAAACGATGGAAATTTGCTCAAAAACGTGGAAATTTAAAATAAACTGTAGGGATTATCATATGGGCAATTTGTCGATAGTTAACCAATATGTCGGAAATATCGACAAAATCTGTCAATTTTAGCCGAAATTTAAGAGTTTCTCCAAGAGATCAGAAATATCTTTTTTTCTGATTTTTTTGATATTTCCGTGAAATGATCGTATCGAAGAAATTTCGGGGATGAACATTAAACTTTGGTTAAGGTACTTTTATTGTGCTATTCATGTCGATGCTCATTGCTTGCTAACTGTATACTTTCTGTACTTCATATTATTACTGCTGTTTAAAGTTAGTTATCCTCTAATGGCTGTAGAATTTAATTTTGTTTTATTAGGTATTGCATAGGTAACTTCTCATATGTTCTTAAATTTCGTTTCTTTTATTTCCAGGTGGCTCCCTATGAACGTCCTGCACTCAGCAAGGCTTATCTCTTCCCCGAGTGTAAGTGGTGTTACTTTAGTTCCAAACTTTTAGTGCTTAAAGTAAGCAGAATTGTGTCCTATGACCTCTAGATTCATACCTACACCTGATACTTCAACGAAGAGCAACCTCGTTTTTAAGTTCATCACAATCTCTGACATTGTAACTTACTGTTGGGATTGGTATTGCAGCTCCTGCTAGACTTCCCGGGTTTCATGTCTGCGTTGGAAGTGGAGGAGAGAGATTGCTTCCTGACTGGTACAAGGAGAAAGGTATGTTTGTCTTCTACACAGTAGAGAATATACCAATTATGATTGGAGAACGGAGAGAGTTTTCCTGAAGTATTTAGAGACGGTTAAAACCCTTATTACTTGTCGTTGTCCCAATTCTCTTCCATTTCTGAGTCTTTTAGATTGCATTATTCTCATGGAAGCATAATTTACAATTTCAGGGATAGAATTGATTCTTAACACTGAAATAGTTAACGCTGATCTTCCCGGGAAGACTCTTGTCAGTGGATCTGGGGAATCCTTCAAGTACCAGACTCTTGTCATTGCCACTGGCTCAACTGTAAGCAACTCTAGGAATTTTCGATGCCTTAGCTTTGTATGTCCTGCCCACTTGTATACATAATCAATGCGTTTTTCTTTTTTGTAGGTTATAAGATTGACAGATTTTGGTGTCAAAGGAGCTGATGCCAAAAACATCTTCTATTTGAGAGAAATTGATGATGCCGATAAACTCTACGAAGCAATTAAAGCAAAGAAGAATGGGAAGGCTGTGATTGTTGGAGGAGGGTACATTGGTCTCGAGCTTGGTGCAGTTTTGAAAATTAACAATTTAGATGTTAAAATGGTTTACCCTGAACCATGGTGCAGTAAGTGAATACTGCGTCAAGCTTTGTTTCGTGTGTATATGCGTGTTGTGTGTGTAATACACTCTTTCGATTCTATGTACCTCATTTCCCTAATTTTTCCTAATTCTTGTAGTGCCTCGACTTTTCACTTCTGGTATTGCTGCTTTTTATGAGGGCTATTATCAAAACAAAGGAGTTAAAATCATCAAGGGAACAGTTGCGACTGGATTTACAGCTGACTCAAATGGAGAAGTAAATACAGTCGCTTGTTTTGGTAGTCATGATCCGATGTAACTGTGCTTCCGAATGTTGACTTTTGTTATAATGTAGGTCAAGGAAGTGCACCTAAAGGATGGCACCGTGCTTGAAGCTGACATCGTTGTTGTTGGTGTTGGAGGCAGGCCCCTGACAACATTGTTCAAGGGACAAGTCGAAGAGGAGAAAGGCGGCATTAAGGTTATGCAACTTCCGAAATCACTTGATTCCTTCCCCTTTTCCCATATCTTTAATCATTCCTTATGATGCTTGGAGTTCTTAACAGTATCAATCTTCGTAGTCTTGATTGGTTAATCACACAGATAAGCGCTTGTTTTGACCACATATTAAGTAAACAATAGCGAAAGAAAGGTTTAAGGATTTAATCACTTGAATTCTTTGCGAGTTTTAGAGATTATTTAAAGTGTTAATCGTGTTTTCAATTTCAACATTTGATTAGTAATCCCATTTCTTTAGTTAACGTTTCATGGCATCCGTTTCAATATGTGCCGGTTGATTGCAGACGGATGCTTTCTTCAAAACAAGTGTTCCGGATGTATATGCTGTGGGCGATGTCGCCACTTTTCCTTTGAAGTTGTACAATGAGATTAGAAGAGTTGAGCATGTCGATCATGCACGCAAATCTGCTGAGCAGGCTGTAAAGGCCATCAAGGCAAGCGAGGAGGGGAAGACAGTTGAGGAGTACGACTACCTTCCATACTTCTATTCCCGCTCCTTTGATCTTTCATGGCAATTCTACGGTGACAATGTTGGTGAAACCGTGCTCTTCGGAGACAGTAATCCTGCGACACCAAAGGCGAAGTTTGGAACATACTGGATCAAAGACAGGAAGGTGGTCGGAGCGTTTCTGGAAGGCGGCACTCCGGAGGAAAACCAGGCTATTGCCAAAGTTGCAAAGGCCCAACCTCCGGTTGCGAGTTTAGATCAGCTTGCTGCGGAAGGTCTCTCTTTCGCTTGTAAGATCTAAACCTTCATGTGATTGGAAAAATAAATGGTTTTGTTGCTTGTGATGAAGGTCTAGTGATAGCTTTTGCTTTTGGTTTTCATCGAGTGGTTTCCATATTGTAATTTGGGATTTTTAGTTGCATGAATTTCTCATTGTTCAGAGTTTACAGAGGTTATTGTCATTTGTAGTTGTTAAAGAGTGTTAAGAATTTCTGACAAAAATAAAATACAATATAATAACAAATGGTTTTTGCATCGTCTCTTGCAATAAAGCCCGACACTTGTTGTGCTATAGGGGGTGAATAGTAATTAGTGGGATAGTAAGCAAATTGACGACAATATTGGTATTAATTATTAGTAAGTGGCCTAAATTGGATTGAAATGGCTTGGAAACCCATGTCTAAGGATGGGTTCGAAGTTCCCCCCTCTTACTTTGATATGGATCCGAAATTCATATTCAATCATGGTACACTTTGCGGCGCCATAATAGACATGAATATTCAATTAAATTGGACTTATGATATCCAATTTGGTCCACCAAATAAGGATCTACATTCTTCAAATCCATCCCCTTACAAAATCTGTTGTAAATCTGTTGTTTACAACATTTTCATCTTGTTAACCACCACAAGATGGCTTAATGGTTGGGACGCAGTCTTTATTTCATATAGCTTGTTCTAGGTTTGATTCATGATGCTGAGATTCACCTTATAGTGGTATGGGGATAATGAAATGCCTATGTAAGTCAATGACTGTACCACCACTTGGTCCTTTAGAAAAAATGTCTCAAAGATTATTCTGAATTTGATTCAGAATTTGAATCCGAACAGCTTGTTTGCGTATATATTTTTCTTTTGAACAGTTAAAATCTCTCAGTCCACGAGCTCTTGTTTGTGTATATATTTTTTCTTTTGAACAATTAGGATCTTTCAGTCCACGAGCTCCGGACATAGAAATAATTGATTCGACTTTCACAACCTTAATGTGTATAGCATTTGAATAGTTAGAATTTGTTGTGAGACAGATGACAGAGTCTCCATCGTTAATAACTCAAAAAACTGATCAAAGAAATCATTTGGGGTACGATTAACTTCTCTTGGCACCGAGTCCTGATGCCTAATACAGCTTCCAAGTCATAATATGCCATCAAACATTCGTAACCAAAATAAATTAAGCGATATAAACCATCGATTTGCAAGAGCAGTCGGCAAATAAGATGATAGAAGCTAAAAGCCATGTACGACAAAAATTCATAAACTTCGATAGAAATGATGATTCAAATCCACCACAATTGCATGAAACCATAACGAACTACATATTTGATTGTAATCAGGTCTTCTACTGGCTAAGAACCAAAAACCATACATTCCACTGAATAAAAATTCTATTTAACTCGAATGGTGAAAACCGGGATGTATGCACGCCAAACGCTCTAGTCAAAGAGACTGAAGCCCATGTCCTGCAGCAAGGAAAAAACGAGAAATATAAGAAAACTATACAATCGACGGATGAAAAATTGGCTGATGTCTCCTAGAGTGTTTGGTGATACAATCAGAGTAGGAAGACTATCGGTAGCAGTCAAGGAACGTGCATCCGAATGTGCCACAACTCAAAGAAAGGCAAATGGCTATTGAATTGACATGACCATACTAACAGAAGGTTGCTGTCATGCACATATACAACTGATGGAAGCTATTGAACATAAATACTTCTTAAGAAACAATGGCAATGGAATTGGATTAGCAGTAACTGAAGCACAAAAACCAATCTTAATGAGATTATCCAGATAACTTACATCATCGGATTCCTCTTTCTCCTCGACCTTCTCCTCTTTCTTTGCCTCAGCTGCAGCAGGAGCAGCGGCAGCTCCACCACCACCACCAATTGCAGCAACTGCAACAGCACCACCTCCACCAGCTGGTACGGAGGCCAACTTTTCCCTTCCGGAGGCAATTAGCTCTGTGATGTCCTTACCCTTGACTTCGGAAAGCAGAAGTTGAATCCTGTCATCATCAGCCTCGGCGCCAACTGCAAACATACCAAGTTTTCAGACTCAATAATTAATATAACCTTGACCTTGTACAAACACAATACTATAATCCCTAATGTTAACATCCAAGTAGAAGGCACGGACAACATATTCATTCAATAACTCAAATGCAATTATTAAACTACTGTCCTCATGGACCTCCTTTGGTTTCTAGGATTGGATTGGAATGGATAACCCACTTTATTATCATTCATTTCTACCTTCAATATACTTTTAACTCAGGTGTTATCCAATCCAATCCTAGAGACCATATGAGGCCGAGAAGCCATCACAGAGAGAGAAGCGTATGCAGCCAAACAGAAAATTTTGGGAAACATGGATATCATAACAGACATTCAATTGCTTCTTCTTAACCAAAGAAAAAAAAGACATATAAGCCCGTTGTACATACAGTAATGCAGAAAAGGCAATCATTATCGTCAGAATTCAACACCGAAAGATAACATATCCCGAAAACCCAACCTTGTCATTTCCAAACATTCATATTCACAAAGATTAAGTCGACTCATTACAACTACTCATATTTTAGGGGTCGAAACCCTAAACCCACATAGAAAATACAAATACAGAAATGGGATTTACAAATCAAGGTGCGATATCGCACTACGAAACCAAAAAGTCACAATCTTTGATGCGGTTAATAATTTGGGTTATAAACAGAAGGAGCAACAAAATCACAGTAAGGTAAAAGGAAAATTACCGGAGCCAAGGATGTCCTTGAGATCTTCGGCGGTAGGGGTGGTCTTTCCGCCCAACACAGCCAACAAGTATGCAGCGACCACCTTCATCTCTGCCTGTCAGAAACCAAATTAATCAGTAACAATGGCTATCTCTCCAATCCACACACAGCAAGAGAGAGAGAGAGAGAGAGAGAGAGAGAGAGAGAGAGAGAGAGAGAGTACTTGAGAGGGCTCTGGATCTGCGGAGTGTGGAGAGAAAGGGGAAATTTGCAGCCGAATGCGAACTGATGCAGGGACTGCGAAATGAGGTTTTATGCAGAGCCGCTGCTAGGGTTTTGATCGGATTGCAACACTTAACGGACCCGGGTTTGGGCCGGATTTGGTAACTGCTAGCCCATTCTAGGTTTTTTTTAACATTATACCATTATCGATATGCAGAAATAACTCATTAAAAACATTAAATAAAAATTATTGCACACACATATTTGCTAGTGAAAGACTTCAAAGGAAGCGACTCAAGTTTTTTTGTCATGAGAAATTTTATTTGAATTCATGTAACTTCTCTCTACGTCAAATTTTAATTTTAATTGTGAATTATCTTTTTTTTATCCTATGGTACAATTACCATAAAGTATAAGATAAAATTATTAATAAAACAAAAATTTATTAATAAACCCACAACAAATAATCAAACCCAAGCATGACATCAAACCCTACAATCTCATAATATTTATTGTATGTTTATTCTAGCTAAAACCCTAAGACACTCTCACAAAGAAAACAAGTTTTTTTTGGCTGATAGATGATGATTTTGAAGGTTTGAATCCTCCAATTAAAGTAAAATCGATTTATTCAAGTTTTTTTTCATTTGATTTCAATTTTTTTTAGGATTTAGGAACAAAATCAGCACATTTTCCAAAGCATTATTACTAGTAAAAACATATATAAGATTAAAAAATTCATTTTTTAAAATTATCTATATGAGATTAAGAAAAAATAGCAAATAAAGGATTGCCATCAACGATGTGCATGCAGTTGCAGCAACGGTGGTGAGCCCACAAGGACCTTCTCCCGTGATTAATAATAATAATCATAATCGCAATATTGAAAGGATGAACTTGGGCTACAATGAAGAGCACCATTCATGGTCATGTTGTCACCCAGAAACATATATGAGATTAAGCAAAATCAGTAAAAAAAAAAGAGGATTACATACGAGACAAATATGTGAGAGAGACCAATTTTCAGTTTTTATTTTTTAGATGGGTGTAAAGATAAATTTCAATTAGTTTGTGAGGATAGTTTAGGTAATAAATTTGGGTTTAAAGAGATATTAATAGTTTAATTAAAAGTAATATGGATGTAGAGAGTAAGTTGAGTGTAGAAATAGGTGGTATCATGGGTTCAAATAAAATTGCCCTTTTGGCATTTGTGTAAAATCGATTAGTGGTCAAGATGGATCATAATTAATCTAATTGATATTGGATTTATTGAATTCAAGTGATAAATTTTCGTAACAGAAAAATGACTACGTAGATGATGAATGGTTCAGATTATAAGATCACATTTGCGGTGAGTCTCGATTCAAGTCATATCCACATAATGATTGAATTCAACTCATACATTTTGGTAATGGAAAAATGACGTAGATGATTAATGGTTCGGATTCTCCTTCTTCTTTACAGTTACCGAGTGAGCTAGGAAATGTTGAAGACTGCCGAGCTGCCATGGTGGTTTTGCTGGTCTCGTCAATGGCAAAGTGTAGATTTTGGTGCCCAATGTAAAAAATCTCATTATTTTTAAGTAAAAGTGATGCTTGATGTGGCGGTTGATGGTTAAATTCCTAAATTGTCAAGTGTGAAGCATTCAACTTTCAACTTCCAAGAATACAGAAAGATAAAAAATAAAAAAAAACTTGTAGCTCAAGTAGTCACATTCACCCCTTTACTCGATCGACATTCTCGATTTATCTTCCCCTAATATTACTTATAGTAAAATATTATTGTACTGTGCATTATCCAGGATTCTAGATACATATTTCGTTGAAATATTGTGTTAAGAGTACTCATTTAATTTCTGAAAAACTGAAATTTATTTCAGTATTTCGTTGAAATATTGTGTTAAGAGTAGTCGTTTAATTCTTGAAAAATTGAAATTTATTTTAGTTTTCCCTCCCTTTAGTATAATATGGGACTACTTAACATTTTTCTATAAACAACGGTGAAAAAAAGTTGGGCTCCAATATTGTATTTGGCAACTCAATCAGAGGGCTCCAATTTGTGTTCGCCTACCAATAGCAATCGCAACCTTCCCCTGATAATTGAAGAATTGGTTACTGCTTGCCTGGAAATCAAGTGCTGCAAATTCATTTCTCAGAGAAGAGAGAGAGGCCCTGGTTACTCTATGTCGGAACTCAAGTGCCGGAAATCAAGCGCCGGTTCACTCCATGTAATGTGATGTGACCCCATTTAAATTTTAATTTCCACTCCATATAAGTGGCTAGTTTTGAGACACGTGTTTTGTCACTCTAACGAAGGAGAAAATGTTGAGAATGAATCTCATATTTTTTGCCTCGAAATCTAAGTGCTGCAGCCCAAAACTTTATCTTCTCCTTCTCTATTGTTTATCTCTCGTTTTTTTTTCCCTTTTATCTTTCTCAATAATATACAAGGTATAAAATATCGATGATATCTGAAATATCGGTAGTCCAAAAACACGGAAATATCGATGGAAATATCGGGATATTATCGATATCGATAAAAATAATATGGAAACCACGGAAATTGTAAGAAAAACTTGGAAATTTTTATTGAAACTTTGCAAGATGTTTATTTAGTCAATTATCTATTAGTTTATCACAAAAAATTGGAAGGAAATGCATTGCAAGATGGATTTAACTGATTTAAGTTGATTATTTAGCAAGCTGGCAAACATTGTGAGTGTAGAAAATATGTAGTAATTAATGAAAGAAGTTTAAACACACCATAATCATTTATATATAATGAATTAGTACAATATTTTACACTTTATACATTGCATGGTAAGATACATGAGTGACTTAGTACCACATAGAGTTCCTATGAGGTTCAAAATTTTCACTATCTTCGTCATCTCTATGTGTAGAGTAAGTGTATTTTAGCATATTTTCACAAAAACATAAGTGATATGGTGGTCAAGGTGTTGAAGGAGTAAAATGGGAGGGGTTTGAATCCCCTTAGTGTTTTTTTAAATATAGAAATTTATCCTAAATAATAAATATTATCTTGCACGCCTTGCAGACATCTTAACGACCATATAAATATTACAGGCTGAATATGTAATCATAAACACATCTATAACGAGTTAGATAAAGCCCAGGTGCGTGGTTGACAAAGGGTGGGGTTCGAATCCCTTTGGTGTGTTTTATTTATTTATTTATTAATTAATTTATTAATTAATTAATTAATTAATTTTTTTTTTGGGGAAGAACTTTTTTGTTTTCGATCCCCTACCCAAGATGCCCTTTCTTTCTTTCTCTGCACACTCTCTTCTCTCTCGAAACCCTCTTATCACTCTCACTCTCTCTCCCGTGATTACCCTAGTACACGGCACCCACACCATCGTTCCATAGACGGCATCACCATCAAAACCTCTTCTTTCTCTCTCTTCCTCTTGTCTCTGCAAGATCGACGAAACCCAGAAACCACCAGCGAGTTTTCTTCATTTTCTCCAGTTAGGTAAGCTTCGGGTTTAACTCTATTCGTTCTAGTTGAAGCTTGGGTGTGTGTTATTAAGTGTTATACTTGTAATTTTCCAAGGTTTTGGAACGAGATCAGGTCGGGGGAAAGCTCACCCAACTCCGGCGAACCCGTGACTGTTGAGAAGCTTTCCGAACACCTTCGGCCATTTCATGGCGAACCAAGGGTATAAACTTACTCCTCTCTCTTTCCTCTTCACGTTGGTAATTAGATCGGAGTCTAAGGTTTGCGTTTGTAATCGGCCGGAGCTGTAGAAGCTCCGGTGTTCTTATTCGATTTGCACATATCCAAAATATCGCGATATTAGCAATAATATCGATAATATCGCGATATTTTGATGAAAACCAATTGGATACCTATTAAAATATCGTTACCGCGAAAAACCGATAATATCGACGATATTTCGCCGATATTATCAGCATTTAAGACCTTGATAATATACTTCTTTTCTCCTCTTTAATAAATCAAATATTTTATTATCTTCTCTTAGATTATTTGATTGTGAAAATAAAAATTAAGATAAACTTTATCATATCACATCTACCAACATACTCATTTTGGTCATTTTGCATAATCACAACACTTTTACGTAACCGTAATGAAAATATGAGGAATTGAATTGAGGAGGAGTTTGAATGAGGAGAAGTCAGAATCGGATTTATGTTGAAGTTGTTTACTTAAATGTTCTGGAATCGGAATAGAAACGACACTAATTCTATAAAGTTGTTTACTAATTCAACAGAATCGGAATATAAACCAGTATGATTACTGAAATACCCTTGTCCCAAATCAAATATTTTATATACTTTTTTTAATAAAATTGGATATAATATATGATAGCAAGAAAAAAAATTAAATTGCTTTTTTTATTTCATAGACACACTAAAATGCTTTTGTTTATTTTTTATTTTTTATAAATTTAAGTATTTACTTAAATATTTAAATTTTCTCTCTCAAGTTGTAGTTTCTTCTCTTCGACATATGCATAGAGTTGTGCATAATGTGAATGAGCATATGGAAATAAAAAAAGTAAGGAGTTGCGCATAATAGAGTTATGCATAATTAAACTAGGGTTAATGGGTTTATAAATGATAGTCTTGGAAATAAAAAAAGTAAGTGAGGGCATAAAGGGAACAAAAGTGTCATTCTGAATGCCCAAGCAATCAGGAATTGGATTGCCACCTAGATGTAGGGAATCAAATTCCACCAATACAAGGAATTGAATTCCAAAATTTGTGTGGGTCCCACTGCTTCTTTGATTCCTCGATGTTTAGTAAACACCGGAGTATTCTGTAATCAGAATTCAATTCTACATTTCATTCTGATTACGGATACGTAAACACACCCTTACATAAAAGTTTACCGAACATTTCTAACTTGTTTTTCTTTTTGTTAAAAACACTTTCACAACTAGAGTTTTTCAAACACTTAACTGCTTTGTTTGTTTATTTATTCTCACAGTACAACAATATCTGTGTTTTTTTTTTAAAGCACAACATGTCAAACTAGCCATTGATCTGATGATTCAAATAATACAAAAAATGTGTAATTTGTATTAGCTAGACCATAATTCGACTCAAAATCTATGAAGCACATATATAGGCCCAAACTACATCAATCATTTAGTTAATTTGCTTGGACCCCAGAAAAGGCTTGCTAAAATTTTCGCAAGAAATTAGGAATCCCACTGCATAGATAACAACTTACGTGGAACGATTTCACTGTTACATGAATCTTGATCCAATAGTGCAATTTCATGTGGTGAAAAACTTACACATGACATTGTTTTAGTAGAGCGGAACGTCATGGACTCATGGTAGTGGTGAACAAGTTCCATGTAACTTCTTCAGTGCATGGATGTTGTAATAGTCCCCCACACCCTCTGATGAATTGCCTGGAAATATATCATCTGCAGAACGTCCCTACTTGATCGACTTGATGAGAGACCTCATGAAGGCAACATAAATGGTCTCCGTGTGGACCCTTACGTGAAGGAAAGTCTGAAAAAAATTAAGAGCTAGCACTGCTACAACTACTACTTGCCAAAGACTAGCTTCTAAATTTCCTTGAAAATCAATGCCCCCTGCTAAGATAGAAGACATGACACTCACTGTACATGAGTGACAAGTTAACAACTGAGGTTTCAACGAATTTTCGTTGTGATGGAATTGCTTTCGGTGTTGTTAAATATAATCTATGGGGAAATATCATTATGTCGTGCTCTCACGGCTTTAGACCGGATCGGGGAGCCATTACCTTTTTTCCCAAATTGAGTGTCATGTTCACAAACTGAGGTTTCAACGAATTTTCCACTGATCCCACTGATCGAAACAGCAATACAGCGTAATTTCTTGATAACCTCCTTCATTACATTCCACTCTATATATACTGAACTAAACAATCTAATTCTATGCACAACATTGAAAAGCAAGATAGAGAGAGAGAAAATGGGGGATCATGCTATCACAGTAGTAGATTCAAGTAGTAGTAGTAGTAGCGAGGAAGAAGATGAAGTGATGAATTACGAAGAAACTGTGGAAGCTATGCGAAGTGCTCTAGACAAGCACAGCAACGAAATTCAAACGAGTAGTAGAAGCTCATCATCAGTGTGCATATATAAAGTTCCTGCCAGCCTCGCTGGAATCCGTCCACAAGCCATTGAACCTGAAATGATCTCCATTGGACCTTACCACCGCAGCAAGGACGGGTTAATGGAACTTGAATCCTACAAATGGCGGTTCCTTGCTTCAATCCTTTCCCGAGAAAGGTATAAAAGAGGGCGTGATCTGCTCGTAGAGTACTACAAAGCCATGAGAAAGTTGGAGGAGCGTACGAGAAGCTGCTACTCCGAGTTGATGCCTGTGTCAAGCCCTGACTTTGTTCAAATGATGGTGCTTGATGGTTGCTTTATCATCGAGCTTTTTCGACAGAGGAATACAGATGAAGAGGACACCATTTTAAAAAGGCCGTTTTTTATTCAAATTTTAACTAGGGACCTTCTGAAGCTTCAAAACCAACTCCCTTTCTTCGTCCTTGAAAAACTATTTGAGATTTCCGACTTTGGAACTCAACATTCTCTATCCTTGCTTGCGCTTGAGTTCTTCAATCATTCGTTGCCTAGGCCTAGCGAAGTCCTCAAGAGGACGAGTGAGCTTACTGGGGGGGCCAACCACTTGCTCGACTTGTTTCGCTTAAGCTTCCTTCCTCCCGCACCGCACGATCCTCCAAGGAACAATCCTCCTCCCTCGAAGTCAATATTCCAACGAAAGGCAAATGCTCTACTGCAGATATTGATTTGCCTGTGTATGCTAGCAACTTCGATTGTAGTCGATGATGATCGTCACTCTAACCTAAAGTACCGCCCAACTGAGAAATCAATCCAATGTACCACACAACTAAGACTCTCTTGGGTAAAATTTAGGCCGCGCAAAAATGCGGAGAGCTTCTTAGACGTTGGTTACCAGAAAAGGGTACTTCGCATCCCACCTATAACCATCAATGAGCTCACCATTGCTATCTTTATCAATTGTATGGCCTTTGAACTCTGTCACCCACACACAGCTCCGCTCTTCACCGCTTATATTGCCTTCATGCGCTGTCTCATCAATTCGAATAGGGACGTCCAAGTTCTTTGTGCTGAAGGGATTATCGCCAGCTTCTCACAGAACGATCACAACGTAACTGAGCTGTTCACAAACTTGGGGGAAAAAGTTGTGCTCGACATAGGAGATTGCTACCTCTCCGAGCAATTCAGAGATGTGGAGGCCTATTACAGCAGCTGTAGGGGTACCTTCCTGCGAACTTGTTTTGGCGAGCCATGGTCGATCGCCTCATTTGTCTATGCCTTAATATTGTTTGCGTTCACTATGGTCACAGCTTCCAGATGAGCTACACAGCAACAAAAGATTCGTCTGATTCTAAAGCTTTCCTTTTTTTTATTTATATTTTAATTATTGCAGTGCTTTGGAGATCCTGCTGCTTGTACTGAATGTAGAGGTTTGGATATCTTGTTTGCTCCCTCCCAATCCATCTCTCACTTTATTGTATTTCACATTTTTAATTTGTTACCGGAAGTTTCATTTGACCGGAAAAATAAAACCATTTGTTATTTCTCCTACCAGGGCCGGTTCTCAGTTTTTTAAGGCCGTCACACTAAAAAATATGCTATAACTCTATATAAGTAAAATTATTTGTTTTTAACTTTTTACACGTAAAATTTCAATAAATTATACTCAAGGTAAACTCAATAATTTAAAAATACGGAAAAATTAATTTATTTTGTATTGAGAGAAAGAACCAAAAGACCCCAAGCTTATAAGTAGATAAATGATAAGTTTTGTTTTTCTTCTACATGAACTTTATTATTATTATTGCGAGATTTTTTTTTTTTCAACAAGTGATACTATCTAAACTAAGAGGGAGGGGGTGGACTTAGTACTATGATCTAGTTGTATTCCTCTTCACTTGTAAGTGAGATGTCTTAAGTTCGATTATTGCCAAAGACGAATTTAAACCACATTATTGCTAATTCATTATGAGGCTAAACCCACTCCCTCATCCTTAGTTAGTATGGATAGTAGGGAAAAAAATAGAAAGGTTGGAGACCGTTTCGCTGAACATTGTTGTTAAATTCAAGAGTAGTAGTTTAATCCCCGGAAAACTGAAACTTATTTGAGTGTTTGCTGCATTTGGATAAACTAGATGAAGCCACATTATGTGTGTAAATATAAAATTAAAAAAAACAATAAAATATATATAGAAAAAAGAGAAGTTAGAGACAAATGTGATAAAAAAATGTATTTTTTTTTATTTTAATAAAAATACTATGACATCATATAGTTAAGACTAGATAGTAATGCCCACGCGTTGCTACGAGATTACAAATTGACTTTCTAGCAATGTATAAACTTGAGTTAGTAGTGGTGTAACATTGACTGATCTAACAATGTGTAACATTGACTGATCTAACAAACTTACCATAATAAAGAAAAGAAACTTTTTTGCTGTAGAAAAATTATTGTTTTGATACCTTACAAAGGTAATTTGTTCAAAAAGTTGAAAGCAAGCGGTTTCGAATATTGAAATTCCACAACATTCTTTGAAAAATAGCGACCATCATCTGATGGAACTATTGTACCACTTAGAGGAGAGAAAAAAACGATAAGCTACTGAGATATTCTTATACAAAAAAGAAACACACTTGAAATTGAATGAACAAAATATTCAAACATGGTAAGTAGATCATGGGGGATAATCTATCATTTTTTGCCAAGTGAGGAATATCTTCAGTACTGGGAGAGAAAAAAGTAGTTTCATATTATTTTATGATACCTATTGTGTTAGTCTTGAATTTCATTCCATTTATAAAATCGACTACTGACATGGTTACAACCTTTGCCAACATCACCTCTAGTATTGGGTGTCCATTTAATTTAACTTGAATTTCTCCTTTAATCCTAGATATAAATAATGCTTCAGTTTAATTTTTACTACACAAAAAATTTAAGAGTCTAAATGGGTTTTACATATAGGTGATAAAACTGCAACTTAGTAGAATCAAAGACAACGAAAATTGAGTATTATTTACCATAAACGGACTTGCAAATTTAAATGCAATCATGAAAATGAAGAGAATTCGCTTTATCGTGTTTAGCAAGGAAATAAATAGCAACGAAAATAGTATGATTTGGTGAACCTTACTTTTAACTTATTCTGACAATAGGGCATTAAAGGTTGACGAAACAAAATTTGCGAGTAATGAGGTTGTATAAAGCCTGAAAAATTAAAGCCACTATCATACGAACATAAGAAAAATCCAATCCAATAATCACATCTGTTTGAGAAGTGTATTTTAGCTTAGAAAACATGTATGCATCTAAAACGGTGAGAGAGAGAGAGAGAGAGAGATGAACCTTCTTGCGGAAGGCAAAAGTTGAGGGCTGGACAAAGAGCTTTAGAGATTTGTACTTAGTTTTCTAGTGAAGCTCATAAATGTTAACCATATCAGATGGAAGCCATTAACATAGAACACAAGAAGAAAGAAAGCTTAAGAGAGAAGAAAAGAGACGAGAGAAGACTTTAGAGAAAGAGAGAGATATTATTTCCTTTATTACTTTTTTCTACTTACAATCTTCTTACAGAATCATAGCTATATACTATCTTGATCTTGTTATAGCTAGAATATCCCAATCGTATCCTTCAATCTAGCCACTGTATTAATGACAGATGGCACAATCTAAATGATTCAGTTATATACTCTTACATCCCCCCTCAAGCTCAGGTTGGGATGACCCAAGCATGAGGTTGGAGCAATGAGTAGTAAACAATGGTGAACTAAGACCTTTAGTGAGTATATCAGCAAACTGTTCTGAGGAGGAAACAAATTGCACAAGGAGTTTCTTAATGGCCACTCTTTCGCGGACAAAATGAACATCCACTTCAATGTGTTTTGTCTGTTGATGTTGCACAGGATTAAAGGATAGTGCAATGGCAGACATATTATCACAAAATAAAACAGGAGTATACTCGAGTTTGATTTTCAAAAAAGTAAGAAGTTGTTGCACCCAATCTAACTCGGCAGCAGTGGATGACAACGCCCTGTACTCTGCCTCAGTTGACGACCTAGACACATTATGTTGCTTCTTAGAAGACCAAGAAATAGGATTATTTCCAAGAAATACCACTAAGCCAGTAGTTGACCTTGGATCATTAGGGTCCCCTGCCCAGTTAGCATCACTAAAAGCCTTTAGGATCAACTCTCCACTACTGTAACTAACGCCATGATTTAGATAACCTTTAAGATATCGTAATATTCTTTTAACTGCAGTGAAGTGAGAGATCATTGGAACCTGCATAAACTGACTAACTTGATGAACCGAAAAGGCAATGTCAGGCCTGGTAAATACAAGATACTGCAAGGCCCCAACGATACTTCTGTATAGTGCTGGATTGTTAAAAGGTTGTCCATAATCCTTAAGAAGCCTATTGTAAGGCAAACAAGGAGTGGCTGCAGGTTTGGAATCCAACATTTCTGTTTTCTTCAACAAGTCCTGAATGTACTTCTCTTGAGATAAAATAAACCAGAGGCAGTTTTAGTGATCTGAATACCCAAGAAAAAGTGTAAAGGACCAAGATCCTTAAGCTCAAATTCTGTAGTTATCTGGGAAATAACTTGTTGAATTGTTGCAGCTGCACTTCCAGTGATGATTATATCATCAACATACAACAAAAGTATCACAATTTCAGCACCAACACACTTGACAAACAGTGAAGAGTCAGAATAAGTATTGCTGAAACCCAATTAAGGTAAAAACTGAGTCTATCATTCCAAGCCCGTGGAGCTTGTTTTAAACCATAAAGAGACTTGTGTAATTTGCACACTAAGTAAGGATATCTGGAATCTTCAAACCCGGGAGGTTGTGACATGTACACCTCTTCATTTAAAATGCCATGAAGAAATGCATTTTTAACATCAAGTTGTCTTAATGGCCAATTAAATTGTGCAGCAAGAGCAAGAACCAATCGTACAGTAGTAGGCTTTACCGCAGGACTAAAAGTTTCCCCATAATCCAATCCTTGTTCCTGGCTAAACCCTTTTGCTACCAATCGAGCCGTATGTCTGGCAATACTCCCATCAGCATTCCTTTTTATTTTAAACACCCATTTACACCCAACTAAATTCTTATTAGGTGGCAGATCAACCAAACTCCATGTATTCTGTGAATACAAAGCTTCAATCTCCTCTTGTATTGCACTATACCAAACTGGAACTTTTAAAGCTGACTTATAAGTGGCTGGTTCAATTGTTGTTAAATCAACCTCAACTGCACTGTGAACAGATGCTAAGAAAACTCTCTTCTTTATCATCCCACTTTTAGACCGTGTTTGCATAGGGTGTAGATTCATTGCGGGAATATCATGAACCACTTGCAAGGTCTCTGAGCTATATTCAGGTACCAAAGAAGAATCTTGAGCAACAATGGATTGAGAAGCAGGTGAGTTTGTGGATTGTGGTATTGGTTGAGGTGAAGATTGTATAGTAGGCTGAGAAGGATGAGTATTAGATGATTGGGTTGATGGACAGGTTGTTGAAGGGGTAACCAGGATATTTTCAAGATTAGGAAGCACAGAAGAATAGCTAACAGTAGTTTGAGATGGTTGTGGCACAGAAATCTTAGGTTTGAAAACCATTGTGGCATATAGAAAATCTATTTTGTTAAAAATAACATGCCTGGATATATAGATTTTCGCATGACTAGGATCATAGCAAATGTACCCCTTATAGTTCAAGGCATATCCCAAAAATATACACTTAGTAGACTTAGGTTGGAACTTGTTGCTGTTATAAGGTTTTAACAATGGGAAACAAGAACAACCAAAGACTCGAAGATGATGAATATCTGGGATTACAAAATATAATTGTTCAAATGGAGAGTTATTATGAGTAACAGAAGATGGCATTCTGTTAATTAAGTAAACTGCTGTTTGACAAGCAAAAGTTCAGAATGTAGAAGGCAAATTTGCATTTTGTAACATAGTGAGAGCAGTTTGAACAATATGTTTATGCTTTCTCTTAGCCAACCCGTTTTGTTTAGGGGTATAGGGACAAGATTTATGATGAAGAATGTCGTGTTGAGCAAGAAATGATTGAACATATTTACTAATATATTCTCCCCCCATCACTTTGCAAGATCTTAATTTTGGCTGAAAATTGAGTAAAAACATACTGATAGAAGGAAATGAAAATGGAGACAAAATCTGATTTATTTATCAAAATAAACATCCAACAAAATCTAGTACATTCGTCAACAAATATGACATAGTACTTGAATCCATCCACAGAGACACAAGGTGCAGGCCCCCATAGGTCATTATGTACAACTTCAAAAGGTATTACAGATTTGGAAGTAGCTGGATAGAAAGGAAGTTTACTAAATTTGCCTTCTAGACAACTTTGACAAACTATAGAAGACACATCCTTATTAACAGCAACATTAGATTTCCTAAGTGTAAGAGAAACAATAGGATTTAAGGGATGACCTAGTCTGCAGTGCCACAAGTTTGAGGTGACAGTATGTCCAAGACAGGCAACGGCTTGATTTGCTTGTTTTTAAGGTATAT